ATTTTAATAAGAATAATTTAAGGTAATATCCATTTCTTTATACAAAGAGGTGAATACTATTTTAACGAAACTTTCGGCCTTGCAAAAAATTTCATCAATTGCCCATCATTATCATTGACATTATCTTCTCATACAATTTCATGCATTCATAGATCAATCATCATCCTTCACATCCGCAATTCATGCAATCCAAAATCCAATCAAAATCAATGTCTTATCAATTTTTTTTTTTTTTTTTGGTCAAATTACTTAAATTGCCTTTATAATATGTATTATTTAATACTATTATATATGTGAAATCTTCTGTAATATTGACCGTCTCGAGATTTTTACATGATGCATGTGGAAGAAGGCGTTTTGTGTGGGTCCTAATATTAGTCGAGTGTAATGTAAAACTAAGTCCAAACACGCCGATCATAAAAAACATTTGAAACTATATCATAAATTTGAAAAACAAGACGCTTACCACCTTGAACAACACATACTATCTGTTAATTTATCTTTGTTATTGTTCTAATAAATGGTCTTTGTTTGGGAACCCAAGGTTGAGGCTAAATAGCCCTCAAAACGACTAACAAATTTGTCAAATAGCTTCGAATGTACCCTAAACCAGTGATTTATATTAAAAAAAAAAAGAAACAACTGTTAGCAGTGAGGGAGCCTAATATTGTCACGTTGATTAGTTGGCACGCCTACCACTGGTTATGTGGTAGGCTATCTCGGCAAATAATAAATGACAATTTGCCGCATTTTGAAAAATAGTGAAGGTTAGGAAATAAATTTGTTCAATTTTTAAATGTCTCAAATATGCAATTTTTCAACACACATTTTTTCAATACAATAATAACCAAATAAATTTAGCCCGCAAAACTTCCCAGACATAAAAACTAAAATAGTCCAAATAACCCAGAGCCAAAAAGTAGCTATCCTTCACAAACAAGGGCAATATATATGTATTTTTGAATTAAATACATATTGGTGTCCAATGCCCAAAATTTAGACAATTAAATTATTAAATTATTGACTAAACCTCAATCAATATTTTCAATCGTCTAAATCCTAGAAGGTAAAAAAAAGAAAAGAAAAAACTAAACCGCTAACCAAAAAATGCCACCATAATTTCATAAAACTAAACCATAATCTCGAACATTAAAGTAAACAATTATGTAGTCCAAAATACTTAAAATAATGTACGGTTTACAAACAATGGCAAAATTAATCTCAATACTAAAGGTCATAAAAGAAAAAAACTAATATCAGCCCTAAACTCAAGGAAAACAAAAAAAAAAAACGCAAGAGAATATGTCTAACACGCTATAGTTAATCCCGATCACGTCACCATCGTAGTCCCAACTAATTCTGCAAAGGAAGCTTGGCTTGGCGTTCAAAACAGAATTGTTATGCTGAGTGTGCCAAGAGACAAAACGGGTCAGTATACAAGTATTATTTTTGGTATGAGTACAAGATTTTAACACCACGTGTTCCTACGAACACAAACAAAAATATATTTAATTTATTGTTACGGGACAAGAATAAGAGTAGTTTTCAATGCCCGCACTTAGATGAAATATAAATTGAGTATGAAATAAATAAAAGATAGAAAATAAAAAACATGTGAGTCCAGCCCTGCAAAAAAAATTAGTAAAAGAACCCACCATCCTGGCAAAAAAATAAAGTAGTATAATTTAATCTATCAACGCAAACTTGCTAAATAAGTATAAAAATACAAATACGTTTCAATGCCTAAATAATTCGAATTGACCAATAACTCAAGACAAAAGCTTGTACATAATCAAGATTTTCCTAAAAACACAAAGTGAAGCGAAATTTAGTAGAAACTGAATATAGTTGAGAAGAAAACTTGAGATAAAAGAACTTAGACGCGGATTTCACCGAAAAAAATCTGAAATTGAAAAACGAACAGAAACTGTCCTAACGATGATTTTTTCAGAAAAGTTTCCAAACACAAAAAAGTGTGCATAATAATGTTTTATTTTAGGTTTACGGCGAACAATAAAATGAGTTTCGTTTTTGTGAGTTAAAACCACCCTCTAAAAATTTACATTGCTAAAATTAAATCAAAAATTACAATAACGCCAAAATCTATCCCGATTATATAGTTTTAATCGATCTTTTTAATAAAAAGTTAAAACAAAAGTTGTCCTAGAATCAGTATTCCATAGCCTGCTGCTCAAAATTTCATAATTTATCAAGAATCGTTTACTATTTTTCAAGATGGTAGCAAAATCAATACAATTCCACAGTAAAGCTAATAAACTCATAATTAAATTATTTGTACCCTAACTTCACTTCATAAGCCTCCAACTTCGCGCCTACACATATATCCCATGTGTCTCTCGTATACCTAAACACCGTTCGCGAAGCCAAAACTTGCGGGGGATATCGTCCCGAGGTTTTTGATTCACACTCTCCGGATGGTTAGCATATACCGTACGCGCGTAATCAGAATGTTATCGCCGCAAGAACAAGACAAGCAATATACATATCAAACATCTCATCATGAGAACAACATAACAATGTCAAGTCTAAGGATTTCAATAAATCTCATAAATCCTCACTTGCCGCATTTTTTATACAACTCATATCTTCACCATCACTCAAATAAACAATAGTCCATGAAGATCATGGTGGAGTTTTAAGAAAATTTATATCTACGGTTCCTAATTAATTTTAAATTTCATATAACCATGAGCGTGATTATAATCATAAAATAAATTCATTAAACAAAAAACGCGCTAAACCTGGCATACACAACTAATCAAATAAATTAAAATTAAATTAATCATCTAAAAATTCTAAACGCTTTATATACACAACTTAAACAAAATAATTAAAATCAATCAATCATCTAAAAACGCCAGACCGTTACAATACACAACTAAATCAAAATAATTAAAAGCGATCAATCATCTAAACATGCAAAATATGGAAATCAATTTAACATCAAAATAAACATAAACAAAAATAACGAATTAAATATAAATCAAGGAAAGTAGGTTTTGTACTCCACCAATAACTTTTTTTGAAAAATAAAGAATTATTTGAAGAACTAATGTTTGAACTGCACCAAAAGCAACACCTCTAATATTTTTTTCTTCCTTTTCCTTTTTTTTTTTTTTTTGTTCTCTTCTTCCTGCACTTTCATCTCCAACCGTCCTCTCTCTTCTCTGCATGCGCTACCCTATGTTTTTTTGGATGAATCTCTCTCTCTCTCTGCGCCGTGGCTTTCTCTTTAAAGCGCCGTACATCTCTTTCTTTTCTTTTCTTTTGAGGGTCCGACTATGGTAACCCAAGTGGTATTTGGGTACCAATACATAAAATGAAATTTTTTAGCCTTAGATGGATAAATCTTTATCTGGACGCATTTGAAAAAAAATATAAAAAAACCGGGTTAACAGTCACACACAGCTAACACATAGACTCTTTCTCTCTTGTCTCTATTATGTTTTTGTGGTCTCTTTCGCCTCTCTACAGAGACCCCACCCATGGGTTTCTGTTCTGTTTTTTTTTTTTTTTGAAATAAGTTTTTGTTTCTGTTGACTATCTCTAATACTCTCTTTTCTGCTCTAATAACTGTGTGAGGCTTTTTTCAAAACTCTTCTCTTCTCACACCACGCCGGTCTATTGTCGCCTCAATCCCAATTGTTCCACTACCAACGCGGCGCAACTCTCGAAGCTCTGTTCAAA